GGGGCACCCCTTAGAACTGTCTGTCCGGGGTGGGGGTCGGGTCCCTTTAAGCGCAGCCCTCGGCTAGCCTGAGACAGTGTCTCCATGCTCTAAGTCCTCCTCTTATGCCCTGCCGGCACTGCTTCCGGCCCTCCTTAAGCCCTGTTCAGGGTCCACTCAATGTGGACTTGCTAGTTCGAATTAGCAAAACGCTAATTCGAACTAGTTTTTAGTTCTAGACGCGTTAGTTCGAATTAGCTTAGTTCGAATTAACTAATTCGAACTAAGTTAGTTCAAATTAACGTTGTAGTGTAGACGTACCCTCTGTGACTTAGTGCAAAATTTGAAGAGCACCTAACTTATATGGCAGCCTTTTATCTTAAATTGTAGCGCACACTCCCATACACACGTATAGGAGGAGGTGCAGGGAAGGAAGTCTATGGGGGATCCCTTCGCAGAGATCCCTCTCCCCAACACTAATGCTGCCCCTTAGTGGTAGTGAGGTTTAGTCTTCTCTGCTGGACCCAAACTCAGTTTTGTCTCTGGCCCCCAAAGGGCACCTTGTCTCTCTGTCTACACTGATTACATTGGCTACACTGAAGCCATACCCACCATTATTTTTTATATTTTGCAACACCTTTTAAGCACAAGGAGAGAGGGCCCCTTACTGTTCTGCACACTGGTGAAGCAGCATCTCCTCGGCACCAGAGATCTGAAAGACAAGTGACCAGAGAATAGAACATTGGCAAGACCAAGGCCCTGAGTTTGGAAAGGCTTGTGTCCTCTAGTGTGGAGAATACTAGCTCATAATTCCTTTGGGGCTCACCTCTGTGCTCAGCAGTAGAGTAACCCAGGCCCTCTCACTCCTCCAGGTTTTAGTCTGGAACACTGGGACTGTCATTTCAGGCATGCAGCCTGGGCAAGAATATCACCAAGCCTGTTACTGGATCACTTCTTACCACTCAGTCTCTTTGGAGGCCCAATGGGAACCAGCTGTCAATTTACAACATGCCCTCAACTGAAAGGGGTGGAGGAGCTCAGCTCCTTCACTCATGGGCATTCTCTGCAAAGGTTACCTGCAACTCCCCCTTGAGATTTGTTCTGGGCAGCATGGGACTCCTGCTGTCTTCCCTAAGGAACTACTTTTGTAGGTCCACTCCCTTGCATTGGTCACTCCAACTGATCTGTGCTGCACCCTTTCAAGGTCCACCATCATCAAATGGAAATTTATTCCAGCGTGTCTCTTGGTACTGGAACGATTCACTGTAATTTGGATTGTATCCCTTAGCTATGGTGTGGGGATTTTTGTTGCAGGATGAAGTTGTAATTCAACTTCTAACTTTCTATGCAGCCTTTGCTACTAGAGAAAAAAGGTGGCTGATGTATATTTTAGTGGGCCAACTTCCATTGGCGGAAAACTTTTTTGAGCTTCACAGAGCTCTTCTTCATATCCAGGGAAGATAATCAGTATCGCAACTAAACACAAGATGGAACAGACTGTTAAGCATAAGAGATGAACATAAGTTGCAGGAGATCACTTAAAACAAAGTAGGCAATTAATACATGCAGTACTAGAACAAAGAAGAGTTAGTAGTTACAAATTGTTGTAACGAGCTATAAAATCAGGATCTTTGCTAGTTTCCAAACTATTATGATTTTACTATACCTATATTTCAAAACAGCTGTCGTCTCTCAATACACAGGGGCTGTGTCTAGACTGGCCAGTTTTTCCGGAAAAATCAGCCGCTTTTCTAGAAAAACTTGCCAGCTGTCTACACTGGCTGCTTGAATTTCTGCAAAAGCACTGACTTCCTACTGTAAGAAATCAGTGCTTCTTGTGGAAATACTATTCTGCTTCCGTTCAGGCAAAAGTCCCTTTTGAGCAAAGCTTTTGCGCAAAAGGTCCAGTGTAGACAGCTCAGATTTGTTTTCCACAAAAAAGCCCTGATCGCAAAAATGGCAATCGGGGCTTTTTTGCGGAAAAGCACGTCTAGATTGGCACGGATGCTTTTCTGCAAAAAGTGCTTTTGCGGAAAAGCATCCGTGCCAATCTAGACGCTCTGTTCCGAAAATGCTTTTAACGGAAAACTTTTCCGTTAAAAGCATTTCCGGAAAATCATGCCAATCTAGACGCAGCCTTGCAGTCTTTCTTTAGGGAAAAAAGCTATTTCCACCCAAGACTAAAAAATATTTGTTTTTTGTTTCCTTAGAACCTAGTAAAAACTGGAAGAAAATGCCTTTTTCTGTTCCCAGTAACCAATATTGGATGAAATCCTGAGCTCAATGAAGTCAATGGCAAATCTTTATTGACCTCAGAGGGGCTTAGATTTCACCCATTCTTTGTTATACGCATTTTGGTTTCCCTATGGTTAGAAATATCATCTTGCTATCTGACTCATATATGAGCCATTGTCATTTTTGGCATTCCAAGGAATATTACTATTGTAGATCATAGTTCCTCATCAAAGATGAATGTTGAACATCTTGCAGCCTTCATCAGATCATTAATTAAAAACTACCCTCTTTGAAGCTCTCAAGTTCTTGTATGCTAATCTTTTGACTAGTCACTATATTAATGAAGTATAAAGACATGTAGTGCTCCATTTTCAATTACATCCAGAATTAAACAGAATTTTTACTGGAAAAATTAAACTTTCTGTGGCCACTGTTCAAAATTGGACATAAGTGTGGTGTGCAGCATTTAAAAAGAGATGTTTATTTCTCTCCAGTATTTACCTTTTTATTATTTTCAGTTTATACTTAAGTCACCTATCGTCAGATCCACAGTGTTCACGATTCCCTAATGCTTCCTTCTCCAAAGGAAAACAACCCAATTGTATTTATTTAACAACACTGTAGTTAAGCAGTCCCTTTCACAAAGACATAATTTATGTTTTATTTATTTTAGAGGTTGGATCACTTTCCTTATAAAGCTACGGCAGTGGCCAGGGAAATAGCTCATTTTGCCTGTTGTCTTATTTTACTCCTGATGACAAACCTTAAATGGCTTTAGGAACTCTTTGCACTACCATAGCTTTTTATTGGTGACTTTAATTTCCAAGCTACAGGCCCCAGAATCTAGTTCATTGCATTTAACCAATCTCTTTGATGGCCATATAACTGGTTTCCGTTATCTTTACAGGGTTCACAAAATTCTTCAGTCAGCAGTGGCAATGCTTGTAATCAGGTGAGTATTTTTTTCTCCAGTATATCTAGATTGTTGTTCAACTTGCCTCTATGAGCACTAATTTACTCGTCGTTCTATATACTAGTTACCACCTAACTTTCACCTTCCATTCAGCTGTGAAAACTGCTAGCAAGGGTCACTTCTGTTTCTAGACACTAGCACAGTGCTGCAGTGTTTCCATTGAAAACACCAAGGGAATGTCTTTAAATCTCAATAAAAACTCCTAAAAACATTTGAATACTGGAGTTTCTAAATTATTCTGTGTGAGACAACTAGGGTTGCCAACCCTCCAGAATTGTCCTGGAATTAAAGATTTCTGACTCGTGATGAAATCTACAGCAGTTCATCCAGCAAGCTGGCAATTCTAGTGACAACACCTGTATTTTGTGATATTTAACAATGGTCAAATAAAACTTTATTTAAAAAGATTGCAGTGAAGCTATAGAGTTTATGCCAGTAAAGAATTTGTATCAGTTTTTGCTTTGTTGTCATTTTCAGTTCATTTGATAGTTTATATGAAGACTGAAGCCATTTGAAATTACATTGCTTTGTACTGACCCCCTTCAACCAGCTTGCAAGGCTGCTGCACAGTTGAAAGTTCCACATAAATAATTTTATCACCACATAGTAATTCAGTTTTTAGTAGATATATATACTCAATCCCATATACTCTGACTGGCTATTTCTCTGAGAACTCACCATCCATATGCACATGGGCCCCTCAAGCTCTTGTGTCACCCACAGGTAGCATTCATTTAAATCTACCTGTATTCATTTCCCACACCAGGGCTCTGCTCTGGGACTTTTCAGTAGGTAGAAGCCAGTATAAATATGTACAGAATCTGGCCCAGGGAATTTTACCTTTATATATGTGAATGGACTATCTTGATACTTCTGCAAGATTCTAATAGTGTTCTGGTTTCTTCACAGAGTTCATCCAATTGCACAAATGGGAAGCCTGTCTTTACCCGGGTAAGCATACTTTCTTTATCACATTTAGGGGACTTACTGTAGTATGCCTTTAAGAAAAAGAACAATTGGTTTATTTATTTGAAGAGTAATTTTACTGTCAAGAGTTAGTTTTAGAAGAAGGTCTGATCTTGTAAGGTCCTGTTCTGGGGTTTGGGGGACCCTGAGTTTCCATTCATCTTGCAGAATTGGATCAGACTGAAACTAGTCATATCAAACTGGAATAGAACTATCTCATTCAAACAGCACTCCAGAACACTGTACAGTTGATGCAGTCAATAGACATTGAAGGTGTGGACCTGGCCTTTCAATAGCCTCTAATCAGTCCATAAACAGAATTATTTACATATTTGCCTTTATATTATGTATTATACCATTTAATTTAAAGCTAAAAGGTCTATAGATATCAAAACAAATAAAAATATAGCCCAAAATAAGATATTGGGCTGGAGTGCCCATGTGAATTTTCTTGAGTTAATAGCTCATTTCATTGTCTTTTCACAGGATACATCTCATGCTCTGAGAAGAAAGAATTATAATAGACAGGTAAAGCAATATCTATCCTCTTTTATGCAGAATTTTGTCTCCAGTAAAGGTGTTGTAATGCTAGTATTTGAGTTCCTAGGTATGTTATCTACAAAAACAATATGTTGATAGGAGAGCTCTGTCCCATCAGATTAGAACAGCTACACGAGAGCTCTTACAGCAATGCAGCTGCATTGGTACAGCTGCAATGCAGTAAGCTCAGTAGAGGAGACATAGCCTAAGACAAAAGAGCAAGCAGAAAATGTCTAGCTGCCATCTAAACTAGTGAGTAGAGGCAGAGGTACAAGGTCATTAGACCTTATTCCCCTGTTTCCCTAAAATCACTCCTAGCACATAGTAGCTTTTTAGGATAAAAGCTCCAAGATGATATGCCTAGAGTGGAATTCAGAGTCTCTTATGTGCTGAATCTTGAGAACAGAGTACATACTGTTAATGACATGGACAGCTCAAAGACAGATCAATCCAGTGAAAACAGAGCACATCCTGCTATAAGTGCATTCTAGAAAGGATATTCTGGGTGCATATGCATGGAGAACTGGAAACGGGGCAACAAGAGTGCAAGTCTAGCCTCGAAGCCAGTACGGTACTACATTTTTGGGGAAATCTTCCTGTAAAATTATGGTTCTCACAGGGAAATTATTCGTTTTGGGTTTCTTTACAGAATGAATCCTCTGTCACAAGCAGCAATAGTGCTAATGTCCCGGTACTAGCACATTCTCTGCTGTATTTCCTCCCAAGGAGTTTCAGAAATCCCCTCCACTTGTGGTACATAGCGACTAAAGTTATTTGATGGTGAACTGGTTTAGAATGTCACCTTCTGATCAGACCTAGCTCCCACAGGAGTTATCACATCTTGCTTAGACTCACCATCCTTCATACTTCCTCAGCTGACACAATTTAACCATTCAGCCTCATGAGGGGATGTTACATGGCAAATTGTCTTGAGTGACCTCTAAACCTGTACTTGGTGGCTAAATGGGGTCATCTTGAAACACAGCCATTCTGGTGGAAAGGTAAATATGCACTCTCACAGTATTTGCTACCTTTTTTTTAATAAAAATTATTTGGACTTGAATAGTATCAATCAATTACTTGTCATGTGGAAGATACATTTTAGGGCTATCTTACTGTGGTGCCTCTCATGCACTACTACCCTCTGGAGACCAATATTTGGATTTGAAGGTGAAAGGAAGTAGTCTCAGCAAGCTAAGCAGAAGGATTTCAGACATGCTTCTCTGTACAAATTTGATCTTCTTGACAGTTAGCAAACTTCTTTTGGTTTCAAATGCTAATGACACTATAAACTAATCCCATATAATCAATCACACCTGACAAAAAATCCAGTCATTCAACAATGTCCTTTTCCATTAACCAGAATAGCTTTCCTGTCTCCTGGCAGGAAAAAAAATAGTGTCTGCTTTTCTGAAAATACTTGGGTTTTTGTTCTTACTGAAGGCAGACTTTTCTGCTGTGTATTGAGACCTCATAAGTTACTGTAGTTGCTCCATGTAATGGTGAAATTTTTACCTGCACAGAGGACTGGCTCAAATTAATTGTAGGTGACTTTTCCTCACAGATTTAATCACAGATATTTTTAATACATTTAAAAACTGGAAACCTGTTATTTTAAGGATTCATATATTATAAGACTGCCACTCTGGTGGACCGATGTTTTCTCCCAATATGCCATTTGCTTCTTTGAAAATGTGGATGATAGTTTGATTACATGTTTCCTTTGTTTGGAACATGCAGTGAAGTATTCCTTTAATCTAGATAAATGTCTGAGAATGTTGGTCATTCTGCTGAAATTAAATACACTAAAAATATGAACACAGATATTAAAAATCTCACTCTCTACAATACAGTTTTGATCCAGTATGCCACTTAATAACTAAAAACACATTTATTGTATATTAAGTTGATTAGTCATAGTGTGGAATTTTTATGCCTGCTGAGATTTAAAGCCATAAGGTAAAAGTAGGCACTGTCATTCTAACCAAAGTCAGGCTTCTAAATACTTTCAGCTTTGTTCAGTATAAACCTATTTATGTTCATCTTATTTAATTTTTTTTTCTCGGTAAAGGAAAATAACTACTGTTTTTGAAAATAAATTTCATTTTCTAGTCCCATTAACTCACCCTCTTTGCTATATATAGCTCACTTTAATATCCAATTAATATCATCCACTCACTAGCAAAATTTGTGTTAAAGTGCTTTGCTTAACCTAGGCATAATGACCTAATTTTGCTTCCCTACCTCACACTGAATAATGCCTCAGGCTTTGCTTTACAAAGATACTTAGGCACATAAATCTCAGTTTTTACTTTCATTGCAATCCAGAAACACCCACTAACCTTATAAATGCCTAAAATTATGACACCTAAGCTTTTTCAGCAGACATTCCCCAAATGCCTAAGTTTCTGTGTCTGGTATGCACACTATTACCTGATATAGGTATCCACATGTCTATCTTCAGTATGAGCCACACAGTAATCCACAAACTAAAGGGAAGGTAGGTGTTCAGCTACTTATCTTGTGTTCAGGGTCAATCTGCCAGTCATGCTCAGAGGCTACCTTCTGGACTGGGTCCTGTTTGAAACCTGACCAGAGGAGGTGATATCTGTGCCAACCTTATAACTGTTTGCCTAGTGGAAAGAGAGCTCAGCTGGAATATATGGGACACAGGTTCAATTCCCCTCCATTTTTGATAGCAGGGAAGAGAGCAATGGAATACAGGTCCCCCATAGGGACACACACTTGCTGCCTCTATCAGAAAGTCAGCAAGGCAGGGAGCAGAAGCTGGTGCTGGGATGAACTGGCTTAAAAGCCAGTTTCTTCCAGCACCATCTCTGCAGGCAGGTAGAGGCACGGTGGGTAATGGTGCGAGCGGGGGCTGAAGTAGTCTCCACTTTCACTGCTTCTGAAGGGCTTCTGCTTTTGAAATGTACAAGAGACCCAGCAGGGGCTACTCCTAGGGTATGTCTACACAGCAGGACTAAATTCAATTGAGTAGCTAAAGTCGAAATAGCTTAATTCAGCTTTTGGTGCTGTCTACACAGCAGGAAGTGAAGGAAGAGCACTTGTCCTTCAACTTCCTTTACTACTATGAGTTGGAGTAAGTCCTCCAGCTCGACATTATTTCGAAATAAAGGCTTGGAGTGTAGATGCACACTGTTATTTCAGAATAACATCAGTTATTCTGAAATACCACTGCTCTGTAGATGCTCTCCTTTAGTCCTTTATTCCATGCAGCAGGAACATACTGCTAATTTGACTTTAGCACTGTTCAATTATACTTTGTCAAGTCCTATTACATAAAACAAATCTGGTATTTAATTTTTTCCACAGGATACAACTTCCTTGGAAAGCACTCCACCAGGAAATCCAGTAAGCACTATTTTCAGGTTTTTTCTTCTAACATGCCATTTACCAAACTGAAAAGATGGATATTCTAAAGTCATGTAGTAATGAGGAGGGAGATTTAAGAATTACTTAAAAGTGGTTAAGCCCATGGGCCACATGTTGAGTAGCCCTGCTGTAGAATTCACTCCCTATGTAAAGTTTTGATTTAACCTGACATTTAGTAATTAGAGCCTGTAATAATTATTTGGATTAGGCCTACAAGGTATAGTGTAGAATCTGATGTAGATCTTAGATCTATTAATTCTGGCCTAAAATTTAAGAATTAATTTAGTCTCCCAGTAATAGAAATCTTTACTGAGATGAGAGGCTGATACCTGAAACAGCTGTCTTCTAACATGTCTTTTAAACACAACACGTTTCTCTAGCATTCTTCTCAGTATTTTAACATGTCACAATTAGAAGACAAAGCTCTCTCTATATATATATTCCATTCAAGAATTTGAGCTATATTCACTTTGGATTATTAATCAAAAATACTTCCATGAGGAAAAATGACTTCCATGTTTATTTAAAAACAGTATACTATATTCAGATTTCCTTTAGATTAGCATTGGGTGTTTGATAAATTAATTTACACTCCTAGGGTACCTCTACACAGCAGGGCTAAAGTCGAATTAAGCTACGCAACTTCAGCTACATCAATTGCGTAGCTGAAGTCGAAATAACTTAATTCAGCCTTTGGCGCTGTCTGTACAGCAGGAAGTGAAGAAAGAGCACTCTTCCTTGAACTTCCTTTGCTCCTTGTGAAATGAGGGTTACTATGAGTTGAAGTAAGAAGTCCTCCAGTTTGACATTATTTTGAAACACAGGCTTGTAGTGTAGATGTGCACTTTGTTATTTCAGAATAATATTAGTCATTCTGAAATACTGCTGCTGTGTAGATGTACCCCTATAGTCCTTCATTCCATGCAGCAGGAACATACTGCTTATTTGACTTTAGCACTGCTCAACTGTATTTTAAGTCAAGTCCTATTACATAAAACAAATCTGGTATTTAATTTTTTCCACAGGATACAACTTCCTTGGAAAGCACTCCACCAGGAAATCCAGTAAGCACTATTTTCAGGTTTTTTCTTCTAACATGCCATTTACCAAACTGAAAAGATGGATATTCTAAAGTCATGTAGTAATGAGGAGGGAGATTTAAGAATTACTTAAAAGGGGTTAACTGTCTGAGAATACTGGACACAATATTTAAATCAAATAGCTTTAGTAGTGGAAGGATGCTGTAGAAACAATGACTCCCTATGTAAAGTTTTGATTTAATCTGACATTTATTTGGATTTATAATTATTTGGATTAGGCCTACAAGGTATAGCCCAGAATCTGATGTAGGTCTTAGATCTATTAATTCTGGCCTGAAATCTTTAAGGATTTTCAGTTTCAAGATTAAATGACAGCACACTTTTGTAATTCAGCAAACATCTTGTATTACAAGCTGGAGAGCTGACAGCCTCTGCAGGCCCCTGAGCAGGTGGGGGTGAGGTGGGGTCACAGGCAGAAGAGGTGGGACCAGGGCAGACAGCCCTCATTGCCGTCCAGAGTGCAGTGCTTCCCTGCCTCCTTGTCCTGTCACAGCCACCCAGGGCTCTGGTGGTGACTTAGGACTCCAGCCGCCACTGCTGTCACAGCTAGAAGTCCCGGCCGGAATTGCTGGGCTCTGGGGCAACTGTTCCCCTCTCACCATCAGTGAGCCTGATTACAAGAACTTTGAAGGTTTTCTGACAAACATAGAGAAGTTTTTGCCTAAATGTGGGTGAAACATGACTTTTCGTGTTTATGAAAATGGTGGCTACCCTTTGAAAATGCCTATTTTACCGTCTCATTTCTCAATAAAATCTCTAGTCTCTAGTCATTTTGAACTCCAGTCATCTTAAGAGTGTGGGTTTAAAAGGCCACTCAAGTCAACAGAAAGATTCTCGTTGAGTTCAATGGGTTTTGGATCTACTCTTACATATCTTCTGTTGGAATACTTTTCTCCTTGACGTACTTTTGATTCTCAGTAGAAGGAAATCTTACTAGAACAGGCTGATTGTAAAGAGAGAGTAGTATCATTTCCTAGCACAGTCTGACATCTGAAGGAGAGCTGATAGATTATGGGGCTCTAGGATAACTCACCTTTTATCACCTCCTCTCCTGCCCCCCAACTAGCTGGTTAGACAATTTACTTTTTATTACAACGCTTTTCATGTTAAATTTTGCGTGAAGTAGTGCTGTGGACTGAAAAGAGACACAATTGTATTTATCCACTTGTGGTCATTCATTTAATCAGAAGAAAGTACCAGTCAGGGGCAAAACTCTTTCTGATTTCAGTCTGGTCAAGGATTGTGTCTTCTCATATAGACCTTATGGGTAAATCTACACAGCAGCATTATTTTGGAGTAACTGATGTTATTCCAAAACAACATAATGCGCATCTATACTACTAGCCTTTATTTCGAAATAATGTCAAGCTGAAGGACTTCTTACTTTGACTCATGGTAACCCTCATTTCTCAAAGAGTAAGGGAAGTCAAAGGAACCGTGTTCTTCTTTCTATTTCTTGCTGTGTAGACAGCACCAAAAGCAGAATTAAGCTATTTTGACTTCAGCTATACAATTGACATAGCTGAAGTTGAGTAGTTTAATTCAACTTTAGCCCTGCTGTGTAGACATACCCTTTGTTAAAAGATTTCTTTAAGACAGAAACAGAACAAATGGCTTTTTTAAAAAAAAACAGGTGTCATCTTCCTCCGGAGATAGTCAGTCTGGTAAATGCACACTCGTTTTTACTGTCCTAAAATGTCACTTAAACAGAAAAGTTGGCTGTTTGACTGTGGTCTGGTAAACTTTTTCCCCCATAGATTCTAAAGCCCAGAAAGGATTATTCTGATCATTCAGTCTGACCCCCCAGCAATAACAGATGTTGTAAGACTAACCTGAATTCATTCTGTTTGAACTACAATGTACCTTTTATAAAAGACACCCAATCTGGATTTAAACTTTCTAGTGACTAAGCATCCACCATAACCCTTGACAAGTTGTTCCAATTTGTGCCTAATTTCCAGACTGGATTTGCCCTGCCATTGAGTCTTGTTATAATGTAATTAACACACCTTCTAGGTGTGGTGTACTATCCCAACTAGTGAAATCTAGACCATTAACAAAAAGAATGAGTCTGCTTAGCTGAGAGGCATCCAGCTTTTAGCTCATGCAGTAGATGCTCATGCTCTAAGTTTCAGAGATCCCAGGCTCAGTTCTGCCAGTCATCATTACAATAGGTTTGTAGACTGAAGAGCCCTATGTTATGAAATTTCTGTTCACGAGTGCTTGCATATGTACTGTAATCAAGACAACCTTTTACCTTCTCTTTTGATAAACTAAATAGGTATTGAGTTCCTTGATTCTTTCACTACAAAGCATATTTTCTAAACATTTAATCTTTCTCATGCTTCTTCTCTGAACCATCTGAAAGTTTAACATTCTTCTTGAATTGTGGTCACCAGACCTGTAAGGTAGCTGAATGAAAGGAAACAACTGTTCTTTCATTCCGTTTAGTGAGGATATTTAGATAAAATAGGCGAGCCTGATTCACTATTCCATTTTTGACCATGCAGCTTTATCTTCATGAGGTTACAACAGTTTCAAACCATTTTCTCAGAAGAATCAATCCCCCATACTGTAATTTAAGTCATTTAATGTGTAGCGGGGGGAAAATAACTGTTTCCAATTTTTTTTAACAGGAATCACCCTTAGATGACCAAATGGTAAGCTAGCTTTTACTGTTGTTGTTTTATTTTCTAATACTCAGCTTACACTGAAAATGTGGATGTCATTTTGATTACGTCTGTTTGGGATCTGAGGAGTCTATCAGAGTTCCTTCAGTCCAGACCAAAAGCTGAGAACATTGGACATTATAGTGAAATAAACAGTCTCATCAAATTTGATGAGAATTCAAATATTGACTTTCAACAGTATTGCTTTGAATTAGCCTACAGCTTAGAAATGGAATACACAGTTATTTTTTAGATTAGATTTAATAATTGTAATATTTCATTATTCAGAATCCTCT